AACAGTCTCTATACCCAGCATAAATGTGAGAAGTTTCATGGAAAGTTTCACGCACCTGCCTTCATGTTTGTTGAGCTTCATCAAATAGAAAGTTGTAGAATTTTAGTTTAAGGGAATTCAAAGGATAAGAAGCGGGGCTTAGTTCCTGGGGAGAATATCAAGTATATGTCTTGCCCCATTTTTATGGTAATGGAAAAAAATTGCGGCAGTCGTACATGGAATTCTTTCTATTTTCTTTAAACTCTATACATTTACTTTTATTTTTAGTCATGATTTAGCTACATTGATATTGGCGGTGAGTTTATCTCGCTGGTGTCAGCATCTTGGGCAAGTCACTTTACACCTACGTGCCTCTCTCCACCCAGGAGTAAATGGATTCCTGTGAGGGCAGACGCGGTTGTGTTTAGCTGTTTGTGCCTTGTTTGCAATGGCAGCACCGGGCTGGTATATTCCCCAAGGGGGCTGAGATGGTTTCAGGAATGTTCAGATGTTGTGAGCACAATATACAGGGATAATGACGGCAGCGCCTTAAGGACCCTCGTGGTGGATATGTGTCACGCTTTACAAAAAAATGGCCGTTATTGTTATGATCTCTTCATTTTCCGTGAAAATGGAAGCATATAATGAATGCACCTTAATGTTTCTAGCCACAGACGTGGGTCATAAAATAGTCTGGTACCATCCAAATTAACACTTGACAATTTAATACAACAAATTCATTGAACGAGATTGAGAATGGCTACCTTGTGTATTACCAAAATTAAAACTCATCAAAGCCTTCATAATCATGGTAATGTTTGAAGTGGACGAACTGCACTGAATGTTTTTAGTCTTTGAAATAAAATGAGCAAAAATCTCTTTAATTTGTTTTGTTTGTTTGGCTTTTTGTAGATAGGTGATTTCCCTGCACTTATTTTGAAAGGTGTTCTGGAAATATTTTAATTGAAATTAATGCACTTTTTTTGGCTGAGGTTGATTTTTTTTCAGTTTGACATCAGCTGATGTGACTTTCTGACTCTTTCTGACTTCATGTTTCGTTATTTTCCCAGTTAAAACTGACGTGTTAGGACGTGCTATCTAAGTTTTGTTGAAAATCAGTGATGCCTACATACAAAAAAGTGTGATTTACCTTCGTAGTTGTGTTTCTGTTAAGGCCAGATACAGAACTTGTGATGTGACGCTCGGCAAAGACAGGACCAGGGTTTGAATTGCAGTGAAATAGGGAAGGCACAGTGTACTTGGCCAAAGACCCGATGATGAATGAGTAGATACAAGAAAATCTCAAAAATCTCACCTTTACAAGCAAACAAGCACCTTTGAGCAAACAAAATATTGCTTTCTGCAGAGGAAATTACCTAAACAAGGCTTTGGTTTCAAACTTAAAATTCCAAATAAAAAAAATTGGGAAGACTTAATTATTTGCCAAATCTTTCCAGCTTCGACTGTAGGTGGCGCTCTTTAACTTATACGGTCTCGGGGTCCGAAACGGGGAAATTGTTACAATCCATAACGAGGCCACAACCTTTGCTATTCAACAATGCGAAGGCGGCAGCCTCGTTTTGGATCGTAAATGTCCACCGTTTAGACCGCATTTCCAGACCCCTAGACCGTATTCTTTGAAGAGCGCCACCTACGTTAGAATCCATAAT